ACAAACTGAACACAAGTTGGTGCAGCTTTACCTACAGAACATAGCTATATTTTAGTGCTAGAGGAATGCTGGTCTACAGCATTAAGTGCAAACACATGCCCTAGCACATAGCAGGCTACCATTGACATCTTCAACTGCAGATCATAATGAACACTACTTGGGATATTCATGTTACAAGGGTCAATAATAATTGGCTAGTGATACCAGCAACTCATTATGCACCAGCGAGAACTTCCATACACATTCAAAAAGCATGAACACCTCTCAGTATAGAAACAAGTGGTTTCTACAGTACCTATTCACAAGTCCAGAAAGCAATGTACTTTGTTCACTTAATGCAACATACAGCTGAAATTAAAGAGAAAGTCAGACTGTGGCTCCAATTTTGTCACCAGCAGTCATCCTGCAGACATCAATAAGACAGTCTGGGACTACAGATAAGCAACAGCCTGTTTAACAAAGGACCTGTAGTGCTACTAGAAGCCTTGTTGTAGTCTTCAGTGCTAAATTCCTAGTGGTGGTGCTTCTGCCTTATGAAACAAGCAAACTGGTGAGAATGAGTTTTTTGAGTTCTAAGACTCTAGACAGTTTAAAAGTGAACACAGAGGTATTTTTTTTCTTATCTCTTCTAACAGAATTTAACTTTTGTCTGTATGGAACACGGGTCTCTGAATTGCAGGTTTTCTGGATATCAGAAAGCATCTTTTAGGTCTTCCCTAATATATCAAGCCACCAAATTCTGTTCTGAAGAAAAGCTTTCAACAACAACCTAAAAAGTATACAAGTAAAATTTTGCCCTTCCTGACCACTGCTCTGCCCCTGACTTCCTGCTCAAGTCACATACCAAGGCTGAACTTGGACTCCTAATTCAGATTTAAGTCAGACTCACACCAGAATGCACTACCAGGCCTTGAACAAAAATATTACATAGAGCAATAGTTATTTCACCAGTTTTGTGCTTCCTGGATCAAGAAACTAGAAGTTGCAACTACTTTTGCATCCACATTAACATTTCCAACAAGCGAGGAACTCACTTAACTGGTGGTTTTTACTAGGTGCACTGTAAGAAAGTTTCGGTACAGTACTGTTATACATTCAGTATAAGTCACCGCTGTCAGTAGATTCCTGTATTAATAAAAAAACAAAGAATTGTATTTATATGAAATCCAGATCTGCAGAACATTCTCACCTTAAGGAAGAACCAGTCTTCACTGAGTACATATTTGGAAAACTATTCATGCCATTAGTTCAGTGATCTCAGAAGTATTGACACAGCATTCAAACCCCTATCGTCACACCCCATCTGTATCCCTATGTTTTTACAAGGCAATATGCAAGTTTGTTTTCAAGCTATAAAATAAAGGCTGAGTCACCTCCCCCACCATTCAGATAACCAACATTAACCAAATCTAGTAATAGAGCTGTGGTTTAAGCAGTCAGGCAAACTCAGGTATAAAAAACCCCTGTAAGCCACTAGACAAGCTAGCCCTTCTGCTGAATTGTTATTTTCACACTGTGCTGATCTGCTACGTAACAAGTGTACAAACTACCATAATCACCCACACTGGATCAAGCCAACAGCAAAAGAATTAGGGGTTGGAAACATTAATGATCCACTACCATTTTGTGTTTCACACCTAAATCAGAAGTAGAAGCCGGTATTTTCAATAAGTGCAAAGAAACCCTTTTTCCACAGCACATTGGAAGGAAAAAGAAAAAAATGCTGGCTGGAGTCTCTGTAGAAGCCTGACTACTACCTCACACTGTCTGTAGCCAAGGATGTCTTAGGTTTATGACAGCTGTTAGTAGACTTCAATCCCCAAATGTAAAATGCCTGAGCATAGATTATAATTATTGCTTAAATAGCACAAAGCTGTGTACAGAGTAGCTGGAAGTTTCCAGGACATAAATGTTTCATTTCTTCAAGAACCAGAAGTACAGAAATGTTTCTATTAAACAGGCGTGTAGTTAAATTACACATATTGAACAAGTCAAAAGAGGTACTAGTTTGCTTCTGTGAAAGTAAACATACTTAATATCACAACTACAGCTGTATTGGATGAAGTAATTATATTTGATTTTTTTTTTTTTTTTTTTTTTTTTTTACATATTACAATGCTTTTAAAATGCTTCAGCTAAAAATGGAACATCATTTACCTTTTATTAAAAGGTCCAAAGAGCTACACGTACACAAAGTTGTTTGAACATAGCAGGGATGAAAACAGCTTCTAGTGCAGGCAGAAGAGATAAATTTCTATAGAAGGCATCACTGCTGCTGCAGTGTAATAAAGAATGGCGACAGCCATATATACACACGTGTAAAGGACCAAGCTAAATCCAGCCTACAAAGTTTTATAGCACAAGGTTTTGAATTAGCTTGTGGTAAAGATTTAAGAGCACAAAAAAGGTAGCCATCGCTCTATAAGTTTCTATAATCTCACTTACTTACATCAGAAAGCCTGGGGAAAGTACAAACAGTTCTTCCTTCTACATCTTCACACTTTAAGACTTTTGAAAACATTAGTGCCATCTTGTCATACACTTAGCTTTTGCAATAGCACTATATACTATTTAGGAGTAGTATTAAGAAATTATCAGTTTTGCTTAACTTGCTCAAAATTTAAAAAACAGTGGTACATACCACTTTTTCCTTTTGCTCCCAGAAACAAACTTGAGAACTCACTTTTACCAGGGCCTCTCCACAAAACACTGAAAAAGCTCAAGATGCTTAGAACATCTTAAACAAAAAGCCATACCACTGACATACTGCACCCTCTGTGCCTCCATTTCTTTCTGTATTTTGCATATTTTTGGGCAAGCTATTCCACACTACCCCTTAATTTGGAAAACTTCCTATGAACATTCAAAAATTCCCACTGTTGTTCAGATAATACTTGATGACTACCAAAAAGGTGACAGTCAGAAGTCACACGATTTACAAACTGTTCTGTTATCTTCAGTTTAATTTTCCATGAGCCCTTATATACAGGTGTTTATGCGCTTCCACAGCACCTTGTGCTGCAGTACACCGGTTTCGTATTGGAGAAAATACATCTTCACATCCAATGGCATCAGGAAATCAAGAAGATGAACACAGTGAGCAAGAAGAGTTCAGGGGCAATACAGAACAGCAGTTCCTCAAGAGAAACTCCAATACACATAAGCAAGTGAGTAAATAAACCACTACTCATACTCTACATGAGGTACCCTTACTCAGATATTATGATCTCAAGTCACCTTCGCCTTCATTCCCACTGGGCTGAGGGAAGAAAGACAATCCAGAGGATGGAGAGAACACAGACAACGCCTGTCAACCCTTTTAAAAGAAGTCAGAGAGATCAAAGCTTTTTCATTAAGCAGCAGCGAGTTATTATAAAGTCAACTTCATTTCCAAGTGACACTAAGGAGCCAAGATCCCTAATTAAGTAACATCTAACATGCTAACATCTCTACTTTCTCACTACACTACCTGCATTTTGTCTTATCCCTCACACACCAATATTCCTCACTACTCCCGTTGCCCTCATGAGGAGGCAAAGCTACAAAAAGCTACTGGAAAGCTTTTACAGCTACCAGACAGCTCTCAGGTGTTGGTAGCAGCATTATCAGGAACAAGTTCTTGGTAGCAGTCACACACTAAATTTTCAGAAGATTAAGCCAGATCAGAACAGAATCCCTTCAGGAAAACCTAAGCTACAGATTCTGCCCACGCTTTATTCCCTGCTTGTCCTTCTGTAAAGCAGGAGGAGCACAAGTAGTCTATCCACAGAAAATGGCCGAACTCAGCTTATAATTAGTCAATGAAAAATAAAAGTGATAAAACATCCAATGTCACTGCCCACGTAGAAACAGCAAGACATTAAGAAAATCTGTTACTGTAACTGCTCCTAAACCATCAACTTTGCTAGAGATGTATTTAGTAAGACAAAGTTGGAGAAAATCCTGGATAAGTTGCTGTACCACCTAGAAGACCAGCAGCCTTCCAGAGGATATTCTTAGTATTCCCCTTTGTAATACATACAATAAGCCAGCTAACGGAAATCATAATTTCGGCAAGATATAAAATTTCTCTCTTTTCATGAAGATACTCATTGTGTGAATCATTCTTTGAACAATAACCCCAACATCTGCATGAACAAACAAAAGCCTGCTAAAAAAAACACTCCTCAGTCATGACAGGAGCCATCTGCTCACCCAGCTAACCCCCGGCAAGTGTGGCAAGCACTGCTACAACGTGCTTGCATTGTTCACCCTCATACTCCATGTTTCAGTGCACGTTGTTTGTGTTTCCACGCTACAATAACACTGTATTAATCAAACCAATAGAAATCTTAAACACAATCGTACAATGAAATGCTCCAAATGCAAAAGAAAATCCCTTCTGGTCTACAATTAAAGAACACAGGTGGACCACAGTCTTGCACACGTGGGGATGTGAGTTTGTAAGCTCTATTCATTCTTGTCCTGTTAGACTCACTTTTTTTTCTTCCTTCCTATTATATATATATTTTTTTTATACTTAGTCTAGTTACTCTTACAACTGGATGCTATTAGTTAAGCGAACACCCCATAGAGTTTCGGTAGTGGATTCTATCCCAATCTCACACTGAATTTTCATAGGTTAGCCCTTGTATGCAGGAGTATTAGACTAGGTCCTGGTGTTCCAGAGTTCAGTGGACCTACTGAAGTGAAGACTTTATGCGTCTTAGCTGCAGCTCTATAAGGTCCCCGCTCTCAATACTGTTGCAACAAGACACTTACCCCTTGCTGCTCCCGGATTCCCGCCCCTCCTGCCTCTCCTCTCCCCTGTACCGATAACCAGATCCTGGTGCCCACTGCGGCCGAACCTGGCTGCCTCGGCAGAGACACAGCTCACTGCGTTGAAACCAGGTCTGGGCACGGACGGGGAGGCAGGGAGAGGGACCAGAGCCCCTGCCGCCCACGGCTGTGGGGTGTGCCGGCTGCCGCCCGAAAGGGGAGAACGGGGGATTGCTCCGTACCTGACCCAGTTGTCGCGGAACTTGCTCTGCTGGGGCTGGTTCAAGTAAATGGTGCGGGCTGGTGCCTCGTCCAGATCCGCCGAGGACGTGGCTCCGGACATCTCATCATCCGCCTTCTTATAGCCCGAGGGGGAACAGACGGGTCCTGCGGGGAGAGCGCGGAGGGCGGGCGGTCAGCGAGGGGCCGGGGCCGCAGCCGGGCCGGCGGCTCCCGGGGCCGCGCCGCGGGGAAGGGCCGGCGGCGGGCGGCGACTCCGAGCGCGCCCTCCCCGCTGTTTACCACGGCGGAGGCTGATAAATACCGGCTGGGAGGGGAGGGGGCGGCGGGAACCGCGCCCGCAGCCAGCCGGCGGCGGGAACAGCGCCGGGGCCCGCGCCCCTCGCCCCGCCTCAGGGCCGCGGGGAGGGGCGCACCCCCCGCACCGCCCCCGCGGCACCGGCGCAGCCCCGCTCCCGCCTCGAGCCGGCTGGCGGGAGTCGGGGGGACCCCCCCCCCGATACACACCCACACCCACGCACGCACACCCACCTCCCGCCTCCGAGCTGCGGTGGCTCCGGCGTGGGCCAGCCCCCGCGGCGAGGGCGGGCCTGCGGGCAGGCAGCGGCGGCAGCACCCCCCGCGGCCCCACGGCCACGGCGCGGTCCGCGCGAGTCCGCGTTCCGCCCCCGGCAGTCGCCCACCGGCTGGCGTGGGCGGGAGGGAGCTTGGACCCGAGGAGAACACCCCGGCTTAGACTGGGAAGAGCGAAACCCATTTGGCTTCACACCTACAGCTTCAAAGCCGACATCTTTAACTTATAGCAATTTTCATCTGCAACGGGTCTGGAGTGAACTGAGGCTCATGAAGCACTGTTTAGCTTCGCATTAAAAAAAAAAAAAAAAAAAAAAATTAAAAAAAAAAAAAAGCCAAAATGTAAGGGAAAGGAGCTAGCTATTTCCTCTGTCAAGCCTCAAAATATTACCAAAGTTGCTGGATATAGATTTATTGCTTCCCCCTTCCATTCTGAGACAGGGAGATGGTTTCCATTACTTAAGCTGTAAATAGATAATAATACCAGTTTATGAAAGCAGCCACGGATTTACAGGCTAACACAGGCAGCTTTAGACAAGGAGTAAAACAACTTGTTTCCTAATAATCTAGTAAAGGCGTTATTTCAGGGTTATTTGAAAAGTCCAGTCAAAGATAACATTAAGAAGCAACTCCCATAAAGCCAAATCCAGCAGCTATTTCTGATTTCTGTACAGAGCTAAGATCATACTGCAACAAACTGATCTGATCAGTGGCTCTTGCAATGATCAGATTTTTAACGAATAGAGAACACCCTGAAATAATGTCATCCTCAACTACATCTTGAAAGAAAAACTTGAGTCCTAATACAGCCCTAATATATTGAACTTTAAAGTCCTCACACATCACTAGTACTTTTCTTTTAATATTAGAATATAGGTCTAAGCTAACATCCTACTCTTTCATCCCAGACTTTCTGAATGATTGATTCTTTATTGCTAGTGCAAACGGGCTCTGTATCCTCCAGTCGCTAGCCACTGGAGGGCAACATTTCCCATCCATATTAGAAAGAAGTCCAGCATCCAAAACGACTTTGCAATGCTAGGAACTGGCCAATAAAGCTAATGTAATTAACGAAGTAATATGCTTTAAACAGCACCGTCTCTTGCCCAAGGTAAGTATCTCACATTGTAAATTCATATTTTGGAGACATTAAGCTGAACTCGTAAGTCTGAGGCTAATTGATTTTTTTTTTTTCATTTGACACTAATTCTGACAACCAAAGTATGCTAACTTGATAGTGTTTACTTTGTGAAAAAGTACATAAGTTTCGAAAGTGAAATAGGTAAGCCTACACATTATGCAAGATTAAGTCATTATAATACTCTTTTAGGTTATTCCGCCTGGAGAAGCTTCCTATAACACAGGACCGCTCAACCTTGCTGAGTGGGGTTTTTCCCCTTCAGAAAACACAGCTAAGAGCACTACTGGATACTTGCTGTTCTTTCCCATTGATTTCAGGTTATGTAACTGCAAAGGAGATCAAACAATGGTACTTTTAAGAGCATTAAGTGCAAGAAAGCAGCTTTCATCTGTTTTCCTAGTCAAGCTCCAGAACAGAAGTGCAATTATTCTAGACCAAACACACTATAAAAATTTGTTTTACACCAAAGACGCATTTGTTTCACTTTTTCGTGACTCCCTCTGATGCTTGAAATCCTTCTGCTGTCTAGTTCTCTTCACGGCCAAGTATCATGAAGTTGCTCCACAACTTTAAGACAATCCAGCTCATAAAGTTCAGAGATACTTAGGTTTACTTACTGAACTACATTCTTGGCCGCTCTATCCATCATAGGTGCCCCAAGGACAATAGCATTTGCCTTACTCAGATGCACTGAAATATTTCCAAATCAAGCTTGTGAGTGTAGAAACAGCTGTACTAAGGTGGTTTTCATTTTTGGAAGTGGCTCAAGTCAGCTGCTTCAACTTCATTAAATAAGCCTCATTTTGGAAGATTATCCAGTAATCCTGCCCATCAGGAATGCCTTCCACCTCCCTCCCATTACTAAGCAGATCACACACAGAAGCCTGCAGACACTGACCTATGCTACTGGCTGTAGATGCTCTCCTTTCATGTATTCAGAAAGCTTGAAGAGCCCTGAGAATCCCCCTCAAGAAGTCCTGATCATATGCTGACCATCACTTCATCCACATGAAAGGCATTTGACCTCTGCTCCTTGTTTCAGAAAGGCTATGGATAAATACAGCGCAGATTCAGCCACCTCCACCAGTGGTGGAACTTTAAGTCTGAGCAGCTCTTACTCCATGATTTCTTCCCTGTATCCAAATGACTCTGACTCATTGACTTCACTTTAGGGCACACCAACTCCTCACTCTGGGAAGGTCTCTCTCCCGCAAGAACTGGATCTTCTCTGTTACTTGCCCAAGGACTTACAACACTATGTGATTTATGTAGGATAAAATTATTCACGCTTCAAATAGCATATTAACAGTAAACCACTATGCCTCATAGCCTGTTCATTTAGTATGTTTAGATACACCAGAGTTTGGATCTTCTAAATATCACACTTTAGAATGAGTTTGCATTCGTCTATATACAGGATGTAAGTGTGAGATGATACAGACTTAAGATCAATGTAGTTAGAAGTCAACACAATTTGGTATGAGGAAGCTGATTCTACCAGAATAACCTAGCATGGTTTTGGTGTGCTGGTAGTGTAGCTCTCTTCAGTTGAATATGTCATTTGGCTTAAGTTGTATTTCCTGAGCTCTGCTGTTGGTCTTCCTAGTCCTCTTCCCCGTATTCCCCTCCTCAAGAAAAATAATGAAAATCTATCACTAGTGTCACCACCTGCTCTGTTCTCAGTTTGGTAACTTGTACTTCAGGGAGAAAGGAAAACATAATTTTTATACTGGCCAAAAATTGTCAGTAAGATTCAAAACATGTCATTAGGTAATTATTCCCACTCATCTTCAGGAAAGAAACAGTGAAAAGTCTCAATCAACTTGAGTAGAGCAAAAAACATCAAGAAGTAAACAAGATCCTGACATTAGAAAACCTCACGGAATAGATGCAAGCCAGTCTATCCGTAAGTAGACCGTGAAAGTATAAAGAGCTAGTAGAGCAGCATGAATTATTAGAATAAAACACTACGATTACCACCTGTTTTGATGGAGCTTACATCCTTGTGGAATTTAAACAGTGTCCAATACATCTGGCTTCAACTCTGAGGCATGAGACACTTACTGCAGGAATCTAATTGTGTTTCTCCCACTGTGCTTTACAAGTTGCATGAGTCAGACTTGAGCTATAAATTCCCTTTCATAAAGCCCATTAGTTTTTTCAAGGCTCTTACTTCACACTATTTAACAGGTTTATTTTCTAAAAAAAGATGGGATTAAGGTTTGACAAAAATATATCAAGAGATTTTACAGCTTTCTCTCATCGTTAAGAGAAACCAGGCTTGATACACTGACAAATTCACATGTGCATTTGTTATCACTTGCAAAGCAACGAATTATAATACTTACTTCACTGGCCCTGCAAAGATGACATTCTCCATGTGTATCTGTCTCCTTAACGTCTGCTCAGTAATAATCATAGCTTCTCTAAGATTAAGTAAATAAAGCGTTGAGAATTATGTAGTGTTTTTAAAGATGAGTCAGTCACTTGTGACTTCTGACAGTTGGCAAGCATCCCAAGAGAACTCTCACTGAAATTGTATCACTTTTCTCTTAAGCAGATTAGCCTGCTAGTTACTACTTCTGTCTTGGTGAGGTGCTCGATTGCTCTAACATGTGTTCCACTTCTAAGAACAAGTGATAACTGAGCAATTAAGCACCTCACCAAGACAGACAGAAACAAACTATGAGAAACAGCAGGGTTTGTCATGGACAAGTTCACCAGACAGGCTTCATCATATCAAGTTCAGAACCTAATGCAATACTAAGGGTCACAGCCAAGAACCATCTTACCAACTTTGCATACTGTTTGCAGGACTAGGACCTAACAGAAGAAAGGACACTGCACTAAAGCAGCTGACCCCTCTTGAGCAGAGCTGGGCTACCATCTCCAGAAGTCCTTTCTAACCTCAGCTACTCTGATACTAAGCTTCAACAGCCACAAGTCAAAGTTTAAAGTAGCCATACAGAGTTCCTTGTTTCCTCCCAACTATACTAAGTGTCACTCTTAATCAAGGGACTTTTGAAAGGCAGCTTTCCTCAGAGTGGAGAAGAAAAAAGCGCCTCACAAAAGCTTCTGAATTTTGTCATTTACAGAACACATGGTGTTATTGTTATAGGCTTAGCCTCAAAGGAGGAGTTAGCAAACTGAACATTTGAGAAGTTAAGACCCATATTTAGAGGCAGCAGACAAGTCTGGGCTTTTGCCTGCACTGAGATACAGAGATCTTGAGGAGCCAACTCACATTCAGTGATTCATCATCACACTCCCAGGTTAACATCCTTTTCACAGGATTACCTTCACAAACCAAGTAGCCAAGATGACGCCAAATGAGAAATTCTGCAGTTGAGAACTGTCAACAAGTTTATATAAACACTGACTTTGAAGCTTGGCCAACTGAAACATTTTTACCTGAAATACATTCTTTCCTGCA